TGAAGTCATTAGTATGTTCATAATGAATGCAATTAACACAGTTATAAGAACAATCAGTTCGGGGTATTCTGCACCTCGGATCTGAAATCACCCAGCCAAGGTGAAGAAAACCTGGATGAGAGGGGGCAAGAAGCTTTGCCCGCACAAGTGAGGTGGGAACAAGTTCACGATACACCCCCCCTACTCAAGGCCATACCTCCAAGAGGTGCAAAACTTCCTCCTTGCATACAGCCCGTGCCGTGTCTGGCCCAGTGACTAGAGATGAACAGTGCTGAATCCCATCACCAGTCCTCGAGAAACAACTTTAAATAGTGCATCTTGACAGCTCCTTGAATCAACTTCAACGAGTCGACTTTAAACATTCTGGTTTTTTAGTTTATAATGTTAACGTAATATATTGAAATATTGTTTTAAAGACTGGTAACAAGATATTAACAGTGAGAGGCAGGGCTACAAGGCAAGTGCAACAGGCTTGCTCTTCCACCACTCATCTTCCACTTTAGCAGCAGTGAAATGGCTCCCAGCTGCTCCGGTTTTAGGGACAGGGAAACAAAGTCCCATCTTACAGCGAAAACCAAGAATTAGAGCACCAGCCAGACCTAAGCCTTCCCCTCCAGTTTTCTCCTGCCTTTAAGCAAAGCTAGAACACAACCAAAAATGTGAGAACGCTGTTAAAGACTTTGTAGTGCTTTTGATATCTTTAAGCCAGCACAAGGCACTCATGTCAGTCAGCCAGCAGCAGACTACTAGAATAAGCAGTATGGTTTGTGTTTCCTCTATTACTGGGTAAGTACATGAGCGTGGACACACACATATAGGATTTAAAAGGCCTGGAAACAAGCTGAGAGAAACGGTGTGCATTGCTGAACAGCAGAGGGTATTTGCAGCAAGGAAATTCTGTGCTGGTACATCAATCAATTAAACTTCACTATGGTCAGGATTTGGAGCAGAGAAAGCAGAGAGCCTTGGGACCACAGGATAAAAGGAACTGTGCGAGTGCAAGCAGCGTTCTTTTGCTGTCATAGGAAACAGTTGGCTTTGCCTGGATATGCAATATCCAGGAATAAATCTTAGAGTCAGAAACACTCTCCTGTTGGATATGGTAAAACCAAAGTAAATGCAGCCCTAGCCAGGATGACTGTAACAGCGGGAGTGCTAGTCAACCCTATAGGAAATGTGCTCTCTCCTCCCCACCGAGATTACAAATTAGAAAGACAAAAAAAAAAAAATCTTTGCAAAATACACCAAAAAAATTTTTTTTTTTTTTACACAGAGATTGTGAAATAGTCTGCTAGTTTCAAATAGCCTCATATAACACCACTTAGTTTTTCCTTAAGTCATATCTTCTAAGGGGGGCAGCGACACTTGCCACTATTAATACTCCTTTAACCAGCAGACAATGTCAGATGAGACACAAAGCAGCACCTTTCAGGAAATAATAGCTCCAATCTGGCGAATCACACCTTTCTGTTTCGAGCCTGCTAGACCTCAGCATGAAAAAACCCACAAGAAACCACCCCATCAAGCACAGCTCATCCTGACTCAACACCCACCGAAGTCCCAACGCAAAGTGTCTCTTACCAACTGCAAACCTGACAACTGAGCACTCTGGCAGGACAGCCAGGACTGGTTTTCATAGGGTATCCTTCCTAAAAATCGCTGGAACCTGCAAGCAGGCAAATATCCCAACCCTGGGCAAGGCAACAGGAGAAAGAACCAAAATAAACTTCCCTTAGAGTTGACATTCATTGCTCTTGAAGAAAACAAGCTGTTAACCTTTCACATGCAAGCAGATCACTGGCTGAGATCTTTACGCTGAGGTCACTGTAAAACACAAGTGTATTACTATGGGCTAGGGATTTTTGTTGTTGTTGTTGTTTGTTTTTCTAAACAAAGATAAAACAGTCCTTACAGGGAAGAAGTTAGTGACATGCTCTACAGCAAAAGCAGATGTTACAGGTTTCAAGAAATCCTAAACTGCTTCAGGTAGGATCACACTGGGAGTCAGATTCATCATTTTAAGTCAGGAGAACATTCAAAGCTTTTAAAAAACTGGATTAGTGGAGCAAAGTGAGACACTCAAAAGAAATGGAGATTAGTCTCTGAGGACAAGATCAGCACAGGCAACAGAAAAGGACAAGCAAGAGCACGATTTCAGCGTTTTCAACACTGAACCATTTACCGTCCTTCACCAGCCAAAGGGAATAGCACAAACACGAAGCAAAACATTTTAAAAATTATTTCTGGGAACTATTTTAGGGATTTGTGAAGAAGTGACTAACAGCAAGAAGTATGAACGAATATTCAAGTCGTTCCAGACTTTCACAAGAGCTTCTCCATCTGCTCGGGTAGCAAGCAGGAATCAAACTGCAACTCAAAGGTTCAGGCAAGTCGAAGACAAATGAAACAACTGCAGCTTGCTAGAAGTTCCAAACAAGCCAAACCTTGAGACATTTAAGCTTCAAGGAACAGGAATGCAGAACATTAACATACCACTGACATCCAAAGACTGGTGGCAGAGACAAAGGGGCTGGTAGCAATGGGATTTCCCTGAAACAAAAGGAGCTTGACAGACCGCAGGCAGGGAGCTGCGCCACCGCTGCTGCCAGAGCAGCGTTTTAACTTTCCAGTGCCTCAACTTTGGTTTCTGATTTTTTTTTTTTTTTCCGGGTGATTACCTGAGATGCTTCAAGGCAGACATTGCATGGCTTGGGGTTTTTTTTTGCCACCCAGGGTAACCATCAGCATTCACTCCAGACAAAAAACACCACCAAACCACCACCATCTCCTTGAGCAAAAACAACTGCTTCTCAATGAAACCATGAAAGAGCAGTTACAGAAACCTCAACCATATTCAAGGCTGCGTCAGCAAGCAATCGAGGAGGTCAAACTGCTGCTGAAAGAAAGACCAAGTCACTTCCTCCATGCCGGATGTTACAGGGCAGGGGCCCTGAGCATGCAACAAAGAGTGAGTCAACGGTAAAAACTAAACACCAACTGACTATCTACAAGACTCCCTCCTTGTCTAGGAATTCCAGAGACATATGACTAAGTTCCCTTTCAAAGAATAAAAGTTTTCCTAATCAACCGCTTCTGTGCTGGAGTGCCACAGTGGATGAACTCACACATGATTTAGAAAGGAGGCACTGGTGTGGTGAATGTCGATCGGCTACCATTTCTGCTGCTGACCCTCACACACTAGCACAACTCAAATTCAAGAAAGCAGGGGAGGAGACTTCAAAATGCTATTGAAAAGATGAGTAGAGATGGTTTAAGAAAATTGCTAAGTCACATTTTTAAGCTTACCAATTACAAACAGCTTGTGAACACAGCAGCCTTCCAGCAGAAGAGACCTGATGAGTCTGTCCACTTTTCCTGCAGCCTTCCCCACTCTTGCTCTTCCTTCTGCTTGCTACCTGCTTCCATTTACGCAGTATTAACTCTTCTCATCCATCCAACCCCCCCCACCTCCAGCAACATTTCTCTCCTCCCTTGCATTCTCCAACTGGGCCAAGATCTGCCCCTCTCACTGCAAACTGTTGCTCCCTCCCTAAAGTCAGATCTGGAGCATAGAAGTCCCACTTCCTAAGATGTCCTGCACAGACTACATTTTTGATTGCATTCAAAACTCAGTCAGTGAAAGAGAAATCACCACTTCAGTACAGGCTGGATACCACACAGAACAATTTTACAATGTGCAGTCACAAAATATTCAGGTTCTCACAAAAATAAAGTTTACACCTCCACACCTTGCAACATATTCCTCCCTTACAGATTTTTCTTCAAGCACTTCTAAGTGCTAGGGTATCAGTTGCAAAACATGACCACCTTTGTGCATGGGTGATGCTATTTATACAGACAATGCTCCAAATAAAATACACTAAAAAAAAATTAAAAACTGCATTCACTGTCATGGTGAGCAGTTGCAGCTCCGATTCAGTCCTTCAACTGTTGGGTGGAAAATTCCCCATTGCTGAAACTATGAGAAGAAAACTTGGCAAACTACCAGAAAGCTGTGCTAATGCTAATTTGTAATTACTGCTTTGATCAAATACAAGCAAGATCCCAATTGTGGGGAAGGTCAGCCACAGGTGACTAACACAGCTGTACCCAAGTAAGATTCAAAGGCCCACTGGTCACTGAATTTTGGGCAGAATTTTCAATTAGCAATCTTCCCCTTAACGAATCAAGGATGACAGCAGGCTTCAAGCTGATGGACCCAAGCAGCAAGCCAGCAAAGCTGCAGGCAGGCAGCGAGCACAGCTCCATGCCACACTGCTGGGCAGTGCCCACGCAGGCAACAGCCCACCAGCTTCAAATACAGCTGAGCTCGCTGCCAAGAGGAACAGAATGACCTGCTCCATGTCCACCGGAGAGAGGACAAGTAGTCACGGACGTAAATTGCAGCAAGGAAGATTTAGGTTGGGCATTAGACAAAGCCTTCTAACAGGAAGGATAATTAAGCGTAGGAATAGATTGCCTGGGGAGGGACAGGAACTGCTGTTCCTGAAGGTTTTACAAGTGGTGGGAAACATCTGTCACACTGACCCCACTTTGGGTAGGGGGTGGATTAGGCAGCCATTCAAAGACCCAACTCTGTTTTCTAACAACCCCAAACCCCCCACTGGTCTCCTACTTTATACCGTTCCAATCCAGGAGCTGACAATAGCACAGAAATAAATTTTTGTTTAGAATACAGCACTCGGGGAAGGCTGAGATTTAGAGCAACCGAAGGGCAAGTCGATTGCAGGCAGGGCCTCGGCAAGCCTCCTCACACCGCTCTACCACGGTGCTGGCACCCATTTCCACCCCAAACAGGGACTGCCATTTAGATAGCAGGTTCCACGTGCGAGCACACCGCTAGCCAAAAAGCGGCCTGATGCCCACTGAGCTTGCTCGCAAGCCCATGCGCCTTCAGGCCACAGATTAAGTCCAGCACAAGGCAGCCCTCCTCAATCTCCTGCCCCACAGGACTTTGCCGAGACAGACAAACAAGTTACCTTTTTAACATTTTCCTCCTCCTCTTGGCGTTTCTCATAGTGTGAGAAGTCATCAAAGATGGAGGTGGTGTGCTTGTAGGTGGCAATGATTTTCAACACCTGCTTAGCCTTTTCCAGAGGCACCTCCTGAGTGTCCCTGGAGTTGGTCACTGGTTTATTCTCGTTGTTCTCTAGGCGGATGTGCCGCAGCTGGCTGTTGGGAACGTCCTTCACAAAAATCCACCTGACATCAAAACGTCCCTTCCACTTGTCCTGGGACCACACACCCGCACACGTGTTATAGTCCACAGCAGATTTCATTTCTGCTACTCCGCAGAAGTGACCACTACCGTTGACACTGAACAGTAAGTAAACGGGGCCCTTCCCGTTCATGGAGCGATAGGCAGCGTCCAGTCTCTTGTTGCCGTGCTCTGTACTGCACCAGATGTTATATTTAATGGAACGGTGGATATCGTCCTCAGAGTAACTCTTAATGATGAAAACCCGGCCGTGTTTTGGGTTCCAGTCAAAATCCTTGGGGTTGTAGTTGTTGATGGACCTCAACTTCTCCAAGACCGGGTGCGGCTCCGAAGGAGCAGAACCAGAACTGGCCTGAGACTGTCCCACTCCGTTACCGTCCACTCCATTTTGACCGAACCCATTGCCGCGATTACGAGGGGCAACCCAGCGGGTGGGCTGAGCCGCCTGCTGCGGCACAGGCAGCTGGGCCGGCTGCGGTGGCGGTGGGGACTGGGGCTGCTGCCCACTTGAAGCCTGTGCCACCGGTGGGCTGTTATTGATCTGCTGACCCACGGGCTGGGGGGACACCTGGGCTGGCTGCTGACCAATATTCTGAACTAAGGCTTGCGACGGGGCTTTTGCCACCGGCCCTTTGTTATCCCAAGTTCCAATATCCATGTTATGTTTTATTGGAGGCGGTGGAAGACTTGAACCTGCAATGCCATTCTTGGTCTTCAACTTGGGCTGCTGCTTAGCCGGTTTGCTAGCGATGTCAGCCCAGGAGGTCGGCTTTGGAGGAGCAATAGTAGCTGGAGGCAAACTGTTAGATGCCACGATATTACTGGTAATGGATCCGCTACCGACAGCCGAACCAACGACTTTTGGGACACTGCTTGCAACGTCTGTGCTGCCCAGCTTCAGAGCTGCCATCCCTTGGTCGATGGTGTTCATGCCAGGAGCCTTGTTCAGAGTCTCGTTAGCAAAGGCGGACTGCCCGTCGATCATGGCTCCACCCAGCGAGCTAGGGGCATAGGCGTAATTGCTGCTATAGCCAGAGCTTTGAGTGGATTGTCCCTGAGAACTGTTATTCCCCCAAGCCGAAAAGTCAATCCCACTTGGAAAGAAGTTAAAGCCATGCTGCCCGAGAAATGGAGTGCTGCCAAGGGCCCCTGGCTGCCCAAACATCGCATCTGGGAGAAAGTGAGGCTCCCCGTTGCTCAGCTGTCCGTAAGAGGTTAGGTAGGGCATGGGTGGGTCACCCCCGGTAGACCAGGCAGCTTCGCCTAAGGAGTAGGAGAATCCAATGGAGGGACTGTAGTAGTTTGGCAAGTAGGAATCAGACATTGCAGTGTATGCATTATTCTGGAAAAAAAAAAAAACAAAAATAAGCACTGAATAGTTAGAATGAGTTGAACAAATTTCAAGGGACCAGGTTAAAAGCCATCTTAGACTTCCCGTGCCCCACCCCTCCCTACCTTAGGGCTGGGCAGATAAACAGGCCTGGCCTTGAAATACCTCCTTTGTTAGAAGTGCTCTAAAAAACTGTTTCATTGCCAGAAAGATTGAACACAAAGGCTCAGCAAGCTTCCCATGCTCAGATGGGAGTGGATTGTGTTCCTGATGCATGAGAAGGGACTGCACCCCAGACTGCCTTCGAGCTCCTGCTCAGGCTATGAAAAGAGTTATCTCACCTAGCATCCAAATATTATCTCTACTTTTTGTAGCCTCTGTGCTCCAGAGGCCTCTACACCTCTGGAGGGGTGGGGGATTGGGGAAAAGACTCAGAAGTGGAATATGGAGGAAAAAGGCCCAGTGGAAGTGCAATGCCAAAATCATGAATGTCCCTAATTGCCTTCCTTAGTCCCTCCCTTAAACTTCTTACCCATGAAAACAGCTTTATCCCTACAATTTTCAGAGCTCAAAATATCCCAAGAACTTGCAAACAAACAGGGATTTAAAGCCTCATCCTCAAAACACACTGCTCCAGTATTGCGGGCACATACTAAAAAAATGCCTGAAAATGGGGAGTAATCAATAGGGTTTCAATAGCAGCTTTTTACAGCATGGTGACAGCAGCAGCACAAGCAAGCAGGCTTCGAATTCAGAGAGGAAAAAAAAAGCTGCTCCATGCCTTGGTCTCCCTTTTAATACCCAAGTAGCCTTTAGGTTATGAAAACAAATACCTCATTTTACAATTAGGGAACTCTCAGACATCACCAAGATTTGCTTACATGAAAAACATCTGTCATTTTGCATCCAAACCAATGCCCCCTCCGGGGAGTGGTTAAAGCCACACTAATGGACATTATCATCCACTAATTTCAACCTGTGCGCAGTCAGCCTCGTGCTATACAGCTGCTTACATGCCAGCCCAATGCAGATGAGATGAAAGTCAGGTTCAGTTCCCATTTAAAAGCTTGGCTTGCAGCAGGCTCTACTCCATTTTTCGTTGAATCATGTTTGCACGTGCCAAGTGCAGCTCTCAAAGGACTTCATGCCATACTGAAATCTATGGAGGCTCTCAAGATGGCTCTGGCACCCTCCAGAAATAGGCTGGTTTGCCTCTCCAGCTTCCACCGAGTTAAAAAAAAAAAAAGCAACAGGTTTGGGGCTCACCCAGCCCCAACTTTATAAAAATTACTAGGAATTATTTAACATAATGTGTTAAGAGACAAGGGGCATAGTTGTCAAGTTTTTATACAAGTTTTAATTGTATAAAACACTAAAAAGCTTTCTATGGTACTTTGTGGTGTGAATGCATGAAAACTCAACAGACACTCTCTCCAGCCTTCCTGTTTTCCTGAAGAAGGGGTCCCAAAAGCAAATTAATAACAAAACTAACTCTTATCCAGGGTACAGTTTAACTAATTGAGGAACTCGGTCCTGCTAAACCCAAACCAATCAACAGTCTTTAGGGCTCAATCTGTCCCAACGCACAAATACTGACACTGACTAATTTGTAAGGCAAATGAAGGAACTTAAAAAAAAATTATTTGGAACCAGCAAAGTCTCTTCAAAAGATAATCCCCTCAATTATAAGAGTAACAATATACTCTCCTGGAAATTAACTTTAACAGAACATAAGCATGCTGGCCCACGCCTCAAACCTGAGCCCAGCAGGCAGAGTAGCAGTTGCCTCTCCACAGGCTTCTCCCTCAAAGCGCACGAAGCACATGAAAACCTGTCCCCTTGTCACCTCAAAATATATTCTTACATGCCGTTATGTTGAACTTCATGAGATACTTTAACATAGTCTATATTAAGCTATTACCTGTATTCACCAGCTACGCTCATGTAGTAGGGAAGGAGCAGAGGAGTTAATCAACAGTTAAGCAGTGCCAGCTCAAAGCAGATTCAACAAGACAGGCCCATTGCTGCTGTTCACTACCTGAATGCCTAGAACTGCGCTATGCTATCAAACACGCCACCTCGCTCTGCTACCCTGCGCTCGCACAACTGACACAGTTACCAATAAATATGCAAATAAAACTTCACCGGCTTTTAATTCTCTCCAGTGACTAAGACTTTTTGTACGGTTATTTCCTCAAATTCACTATTCCTCTTCACCTCGAGACTAGAACCAGGGTTTAAGCTGACTTATTGATGCTGTGGAGCTTTTGGTTTTCAAACTGTTGAAGGATCACTTACTGTGTATCTGAGCTTTAAAATACACAGTAACCTAATTTACTAGGCTGACAAGCTAGGAAGTCGCACCTGAAATAGCAGCTCCTGAAAGAAGAGCCATGGAGCTTTACAACCTGGTTACCTCATGCTTGTGTGGAGAGCTCAGAAGGCAACTCCAGAAACCACTTGCGTTACTCTGCAGCAGTGGGCTGCATTTAATTCGTTTTTCAGAGCCTTATCTGTAACTCCCTTTCCCATCTTCAGAAAGGAGGTGCATGCTTTGCTCCTTTCTATGAGGAGCCTGGCTGGTTGGTTCTGCAGAACCACGGTCCCCTCCAGACTGCACCCTAGGGTTTGTTTTCTACTGTATCGAGTATTAAAACATGGATGAGAGCTGACAAGCAACACAGCATAGTGAGAAACCGAGATAAAGTTTCATTCAAAGTTAACACAGTGGTTTCACCCCCCTCCTGCTCACTTCCTCTGCTCCACCTCCTGGGGCATGCTCCAATCACTTCCTTATTTTTAAAACATAATTTTTACCAGTGTGACACACACACAAAGAAACAAAATATTCAGAAGTTCTTCATCAAACATGCAAAATATCATGTTGCTTCTAGCATTACAGTAACCTTCACTCTCTTTAGGAGATTTAAATAAAACTACACTTTGCAGGAAATACTTCCATATTCAGAAGGAAGCTGGAAATTGCTGATGTTACCTTCTGTGATAGAAAAAAAAACACTATTAAATGATAGCTACTAGGAAAGCAGCTAGTTTTATCCAAGACTCAAGAAAGTAATCACGCTCTCTCACCCTATGCAGGTTGCTCATAACTTTTTAGGGAGCTGAATGCAGGGAGTTATCTTAACAGTCAGGTTGAATTCTGAAGATTACAAACAGCTGACAGGACCTTAAAGAATATTTAGCTTCATATCTTTAGCACAAATTAGGAGAATACTTGTTGAAAAGTTAACTGAGACAGAAACCTGTTCCTGTGTTCCAATAAAACATGCATCACTTATCTGAAAAAAATACACCAACTAGTAAAAATTGTCAAAAAAATACAGAAAGGGAAAACCAGAACAGCTTATTGTAACAACTGGAGAGGAAAGTGAAGCCAAGAGAATGAACTATCTGCTGTAGTGCTACTATAGATGTTTATCTACAATGCCTACTTGTAACATCTAATCAGCTGAACTCCATCTGTTATGTGTCACTCTCCTACCACTCAATAAGAAAAACAAACAAAAAACAGTTAACAGTGGAGCTAATCTTAAATAGAAAGTTAAGTAGAAAAATATCTGGAAGTCTGACTTTCAGGAGCTGATCGCAAGCTCTCCAGCTTGACTTCTAACTGAAGTTCTCAGAAAGTCTTAACAGCCTTTATCACACTTGTGTTCTGCGGGTTTCTTTGGTGAAAAAGAGAAGACCCCATGACACGCATTTCCAGTTTACTCAGTGGGGAGATAAGAAGCTTGATAACATCCTCCAAAAGCCCTCGGAGCATAACTGCATCGCGTGAAGCAATTTCACAACGCAATATAGCATGTCTTCTTGTACAATATAAAGAATCAGAAACCAGCAAGGAAAGAAGGTCATAACAGTAAAACTGAAAGAGCAGAAATGGTAAACTCAAGGCAGTTACTTTGAAAAAAAAAAAGAGCTGCGCACCAACCATAGAAAGTCCTTACACCCCCAAAAAATTGCTAAAACCACTCTACCTCACCCATCACAGTCTAATGGCATTCTGTGTTTTCTGCCTGGAGAAATGCAGGTGTGGAAGAGCATATTACAGTAAGAAAGCTGGCAAAAAGCAATCTGTAGAAATGGGGAAACACAAGGATGCCAAATTCGCCTTTGCTAGAGAGCAGTGGGAAGCCCCCAGGCTTCGGGAGCTTCTTGCCCGTGAGCAGGCACTCTTACTCACCGGCCGTGCCTGGGGACTCAAGTAGGGTTCAAAGTCATCATCATTTAACCCATCCTTCTGATGCACGGATCCGTTTTGCACTGAGGAAAAGATTTAGAGTGTTAGAAAGAGCTTAGCCTATAAACACGAACATTTACCTACTTAAAGTATTTAAAGGCAGCCCTTACAACATAACTGTTGCTCACTAGTTGAGAACACGCCGTGCTTAGCCCACCGGAGAGTGGAAAGACACTTCAGCACCACACAACCGCCCTTAACCGCAAACTTTCCCCAGCCCCAGAAACGATGACTAGCTTCACAGCGCACCGTTTGTTTTCCTCCCGGCCACTCCGCCGCGTTAAAGGCACACAGACCCGAGGACCTGCCCAGAAAATTTCGGAGGAGATCCTCCCCGTCCCTCCCCCGCGGGCACGCTCCCCAAAAGCGCGGCTTCTCCACGGGATCCCCGCTCCCCAGCTGCTCTGCCGCGGCATCCCCCA